CAGTTTTCTCTGTGTGGCCTGCTGTCCTGGAACTCACTTTGCAGACTGGCCTCCAACTCAGAGATGTGCCTTCACCTCTCAGATTCCGGGAGTAAAGGTATATACCACCATGCCTGACTGGATAGGAGAGATTCTGAGTTTCAGTGTGGGAATGTACTCTCCTGGTAATGGATATTAAGGGACAAAATTGAAATCTTAATCGTGTCCTGCCTTGGCTGGTGCTTTAGGAATCCTTCAACCTCAGTGGCTCTCATCAGGGGTGATTTGGGATCACAGGTCCCATCAACCATGTTTTCAGACGATATAGTTGTCCCAACTGGAGCAGGTACTGATGGCTTGGGTGGGCAGAGGTCAGGGTCAATGCTGACAGACTTTAACACACAGGATGACCCGCTTAAGTGTCTACAAACAACAGTGCTGAGGTCAGGCAGCCCTTCTCTACTCATTTTCTAGGGCCTCTTGCAAGGAGGCCAGTGTTACAGCCATCTTGAGTGGGCAGGTGGAAAAGTGAGGAACATTCTAGACAGACCTGCTGGGTAGATATCTGTAATATGAACTCCCACAACAGAGAAGCTGACTGAGACAATCCAGTGTGGCAGAGCTCACAGCCCTGACCTGACACAGGCTGCCTGAAGAATAACTTCTATTCAGAGTTTTGCCGAAAACCCAGAAGTCTCAGTGCCTGCAGAATCACAGTGCGCAGCAACCACAGAATATACCGGAATATAAAAAATTCCTATTTAAGTGACAAGCCCCTCCCAACACACACTTTGCAAAGTTACAGAAACCATTGTCAAAAGGACTGATGCCAAGCAGAGTACTTTGCACACACTGACGTGATGGAGCTCTGTGTAGGAGACGTGCCCACACCTGTCCTGCCATCTGTCAGCCGGGAGTTTGGAACTTTCTTTACTTAGAACCTTCTGAGTTTTGTCCACTGTCAGTAGAAATGTTCTTCATAAATACTGGATAGAAACACCGAGAGCATTCTAGAGTATTAACACCCCAAATTGTCCTACCTAGAAAGTATGGCCTGCAGACATTTAAAAAGTATGGTTGCCCAGGCAGTGTTGGCACACACCTTTAATCCCAGCAGCATTCAGGAGGCAGAGGCAGAAGGATCTCTGTGAGTTCCAGGCCAGCCTGGTCTATGAAACGAGTTCCTGGACAGCCAGAGCTGTTACACAGAGAAACACTTTGGGTATGGGAGGGGAAAGGCTTGCTTGCTTCCCTGTCTCCCCCCACCTCCACCCCTGCCACCTCAGAGTCTTGTGTTCTGCGTCCCAGTTCACAAGAGCATCAGCTCTCAAAGAACTGTGAATGTCAGAGCATTATGGGGAAACCTGGATCCCAACTCCAGCTATTTTGTTCTCAGATGGTGTCTGACATGCAAAAGACTGCCCAGGCTGTGAGACAGCATTGCCTGGATCTCCTGTGAGGTCAGAGGGTAGGTCACCTATGGGAAGGACGCGCATGACATGGGTGGAGGCAGGTGATGGGAGTATTTCCTCTTGCCCTCTGTCCAGTATATTCTGTGGTTGTTGTGTCCTGCACTCAGATGTATTTCGTTGTGTGGACCCACTCCACTGGCCTGAAGTGCCCTCTGCGCCTGGTCTTTCTGCCCTCTGGCCACTCCTTGCATGTGCTGGAGGACAACCATTTTTACTTTGGCTGGCCCTGCCTTTGGGCTTGGCCCTATCAGCCCAGTGTTTTACTGCAGATGGTACAGATGAAACAAACCACAGTTCTGTAGCTGTGTCTCCCCAAAGCCACAGGGCTACTTGGGGAGAAAGTTGCCGAGCTGAACTCTAAATCAAGCGTTCCTTCCTAGCCCAGGGCAGCCGCTGTAGAGTAACTGAAAATCTGCTTCATTGTTTATCCAGTTAAGAATGAAATCTGATGCCCTCTTCTGGTATGCAGGCATACATGGAACACTGTATTTGTAATAAATAAATAAATAAATCCTTAAAAAAAAATAAAAAGAAAAAACTCAAATGCCCAGCAGTGGTGGTGTACAGTTTTTTGTTTGTTTTTGTTTTTGTTTTTTCCCTTGAGACAGGGTTTCTCTGTGTAGCTTTGGAGCCTATCCTGGCACTCACTCTGTAGACCAGGCTGGCCGCAGAGATCCGCCTGCCTCTGCCTCCCAGGTGCTGGGATTAAAGGTGTTCACCACCAACGCCCGGCCAGTGGTGCACACTTTTAATCCTGGCACTCAGAAGGCAGAGGCAGGCTGATCTCTGTGAGTGTGAAGCCAGCCTGGCCAACTGAGCAAGATACAGGACAGTCAGGACTAAACAGAGAAACCCTGTCTCAAAAAACCCAAAAATAAAATAAAATGTAATTATTTTAAGAAGAAAAAAAGAAGAAAACTCTAGAATTTAGAGAAATTTTCTTGCTATTGATCTGGTGTTTAAACCTGCCTGTCCTCAACCAAAAACAACAACAACAAAAAAAACCAAAAAAAAACATTTTCTTACCTCATAGCTTAGCTTTTTTTTGTTTTTGTTTTTGTTTTTTTTAGATTTACGTATCTGAGTGTTTTGTCTGCACCTACATCTGCACACCAGAAGAGGGCATCAGATCCCATGGGATTACAATTATAGGTAGTTGTGAGCAGTCATGTGAATGCTAGGAATTGAACTCAGGACTCCTGGAAGAGAGCAGCCAGTGCTCTTAACCACTAAAGCCATCTCTCTAGCCTAGCTTAGCTCTCAACAACATAAAAACAATTCTTGGGGCCAAAATCAAACTCCTTCCCATGGTCTCCAAACTTCAAAATCCAAGTATTCCTCCATACAGTGATAGCTCAAGAGCTGGCCGAGTGGGGTAGAGACAGCAAGGTGGGCATTTGGCCACAAGAAGGACCCAGCTAGTGGGCTGTTTGGAGATGTATGTTGCACCATCAGCTGCTTTCCACAGGAAACAAACTCCTAGAGTTCATCTGAGCTAGCTGTGAGACCTTAGCTTACCCTCCCCTGTGGCAATTTCATTTTAAGATTAGCTCAGCTGTGTTTCCACAGTGCCTGAAACAACAGTGCCTTTTGCTGGAGAAGGAGGGAGGTGTTCTGAGGGTTGGGCCAGGATTTCCAACTTACTGATAAACTATCTTCTTACTCGAGTTGGTGGATGATGAAAAATAGGTGAGGAAGAACCTGACACTGGGCCTCAGAAATAACCCTAAAAACTCTGAAATAGATTTGTTTTGTTTGGTTTTGGTTTTTCGAGACAGGGTTTCTCTGTGTAGCTTTGGAGCCTATTTTGGCACTTGCTCTAGAGACCAGGCTGGCCTTGAACTCACAGAGATCCGCCTGCCTCTGCCTCCCAAGTGCTGGGATTAAAGGCTTTCGACACCAACGCCCGGCCCTAGTTTTGGTTTTTCAAGACAGGGTTTCTCTCTGTAGCCTTGACTGTCCTAGAACTCACTCTGTAGACCAGGCTGGCTTTGAACTCACAAGATCTGCCTGCCAAGACTACACAGAGAAACCTTGTCTTGAAAAACAAAAACAAACAAAAGTATTAAATTAGCAAAATGGATCTTACGAGTCTTTCAAAGTGTCCCTCTGACTTCCACCCTAGAGCTTTTTATACCTTATGCATGGAAAGATCAGGATGTGGTGAAGAATCGGCCTTTCAAGGCAGGAGGATTTCATGCATGAACCCTGGAGCTCAAAGCCAAAGTCCACCTGAACAACACAATGAGATCTTTTCTAAAAAAAAACCAAACAGAGCTGGGAGGACAGGTGGACTGAATTTGCAGCATATAGGTGCTTTAAACCCAAGACCATTCCAGGTGGATGAAGAACAGGAAATCATTCTCTTTCCCACACTGCCATCTTCTGATGGAAGCAGGCAAGGTTTATTGCCTTCCCAGGTTGCCTTTCTACCCCACAACTTCTCAGGAACAACATACTATTAAGGAAATCTGACCAGGACTATTGGGGTCAGAACTCTTAGTGTCAGCTGCCCTGCTGGCTGGCCATCTGAGAACAGGCCTCACCCTTGAATGTTCCAACACTAACAGCTATGGCTCTCATCACCCTGCCCATGACTCTGTATTCCATACACTGCTGGGCCAACGACATGAAGCCTGGGAGTATACAACTCACTACAAGCTGCCTCCTATCCCAGTCGATCAAATCACACTGCCATCAGTGTGGAAGTGATGTCAAGGAACTGTGGGCCTATCCAGAAGCAGAAGGCGCTGGGAAGGTCCCTCTAGTGACTAATGGCTGTGCTAAGGGGATTAGGAGAAAGTAGCAGAGCTGGGTCCACAGGGGTGATGTAGGCCAGATCACAGTTAGCCACTTGGGGAAAGGGAGGCACTAGGCTACTTGTGTTTCATTTTTGGAGCGTTCTAGTCATGAGAGACCAGTAAGTAATGGTGGTGGTAAGGTTCAGGCCTGTGGGATCAGTCCAGTGTTGAGCCCTGGCTTTGCAATCACTAGGTTTTCATTGGCTGGAGCCACTGAACTTCCCTATGCTGAGACTTCCTTATTGTAAGACAGAGTAACACATATTGTCCTGGGTGGATAAAACTGAACCAGACTATATATTTAAAGTCCCTACAATACGGTGGGCTCAGTGATGATCTGTGTGTACATGGAACAGTGTGGAACCCCTGACTGGCTGACTGGCTGTAAGGAGTGGGAGGGAACGGGACACACTAGCCAGGCAAACTCATATTTGGCTCCTGGACCAGCCCCTCTGGGATGAGGGTAGAGGCAGATAGTAATTTCCCTGGGAAGCCTTGGCAACCCATTCACCCTTTACCCTACAGCCCACCTCTGCATGTCAGGGCATCCCCCGATGGATCCCCAGCAACAGACAGGATAGTACCCCCCACACACCCGCCAAACTTGGAGTGCGTGTTGTATTCTAACAGAGGGGAGTGGCCTCTACAAAAAGCTCGCTGGAAATGTGACTGAGGCCCTCCTGGGTTAGAGGCCAGGCTCCTGGAATCTTCTCCCCACCCTGACCTGGCGACCAGCCAAATCCGGGGATTCTGAACCAACTTTATTTGCAAAAACCAGACAAGAAGGAACCCAGGACAGAAAGGTTTCCGCTCCCCTCTCAGGGCCCTGCATCAGCTTTTCTCTTACCAGGAACCACCAGGCACACAGCGCTCACTGACGTTCGACTCCGCCCATAGATGCCCCGCCCCTTAGCCACCCATAAGCCCCACCCACCAGCAGCCCCGCCTCTTTGTGGTCCTCACTCCTGCCTGGCCCAGGCCGCGCCCCTTTGCTCAGGGCCCGCCTATACGATGGCAAACTGGCAGATGTAAGGCAACTGGTCGCGGCATCTCTTGTCGAACCACTTGCCGTTGGCCGCTACGGCCAGGGCGGCGCAGTTCTCGGCTTTGCCGCCGTCAGGCTGCGCCGTGATCTCCGTCTCCCAGTTCTTGTAGGCCAGGCGGCCGCCGGTCATGTCCACCCAGGCGCCTTCCGACGCCATGTCGTTAAGGCCCATCCAGATCTCTACCTCGCTACCCACGCTCTGGCGCGCGTACTCGAACAGTGCCTCGTTCTCTAGCCCCGACTGCGGCGTGCCCAGCGTGCCCCCGCGCGAGATGCAGTCCTCGCTCGCCTCGTGGAAGGTCTTCTGCTGGGTGAAGGCCAGGAAGCACTTCAAGTTTACCTTGGTGCCCTTCAGGCACACTGCAAGGAGAGATAGCTGTCACATAAATTTCAGATGCCCCAGGCCAAATAGACCTCTTCCAGACTGCCCCCAGCCTCCATCCTATCCCATCCACCCTGCTGTGGCAGACCCTGAAGGACTCAGATTACTGGTCAAGATGATGTGCCAGGAATGACCATCCCTCTGATGCAACGGGCTCCTTAGCCAGGGTCACTGACTTCCAGGGATGAAGGGAGTGCAAAAGTCACCTGGTCTCTGCCCAGAGCAGGATAGTCTCCTGGGCCACAGAGATTGGCACCAAGCTTATTCTAAGCTTAGCCTCTCTTGGGTCTGCTTCCTTCTTCACCCTCTCCAGGCATGCGACCTCCTCAGTCCACTGCATCTCAAAGGCAGCTTCCCCAACTAGCCAGAGCCTCCTACACCGAGCTCCATCACTTGGCTCCTCCCTAGGATCAAGCCACTAGCTCACAGTCCAGGTACTTAGCGCCTACCTCCCCTGCCTGAGTAGTTGTTTATAGTTGTTTGTGTTTAGCTTGATTTCTAACTTAAACACGGGGCAGATGGGGTACGGTGTTACTTATGGAGCCACATATGTCAGGGGTACGTATCGGCCCCTACCCCATGCACTTGAGGGCCAGCAAGCTTTACCACAGGGGATCAACACAGGGACCTCTGCCCAGGCCAGGTCCCTGGCTGGTGGGGTGGAGCTGGGAGAATGCGCTGAGACTGCAGAACATTGGCAGCAGAAGACGGCTGGGGACAGGCAGGCTTTCCCAAAGGGCATTCTGAACTAGAGTGCTCGGTGGAACACTGGCCTCCCAGGTTAGGAGGAAGGGACTTGTGGTGAGCTTGGTGTAGTTGTTTGTGTTTAGCTTGATTTCTAACTTAAACACGGGGCAGATGGGGTACGGTGTTACTTATGGAGCCACATATGTCAGGGGTACATATCGGCCCCTACCCCATGCACTCGGCCATTTCACTCAGCGAATATTCTAGAGAAACATCCCGGTGTCTCTGAGGGATTTGACAATGAGGCCTCATGGAAGTGTTTGTTTATAGACTCTGGAGCACTCTGGTGCATGCATCATAGACCTAGATCAGGGTCAAGCACACACATGGCATTGCTCACTACACACCAAGGAACTGAGGCAAGGTCACAGGGGGAGTGGGAATAGAGATCCTGCATGGAGACCATGGTGAGAAGGACAACCAACGTGAAGGAGGACTGGCCTGGCCCCAAAGCTCTGTGCTTTTAGCCAGCCTGTTTGGGCTACCTCAAACAAGAAAACAGAGGCTGGCTCTCCTGGCCTTTAGAGTGCCTGGACTATGAGGCCTTCGTCCTTTCATCTTTGAGATAGATTCCCACTGTATGACCCTGACCTGCCTGGAATGTACTCTGTAGACAGACAGGCTGGCCTTGAACTCAGAATCTGCCTACCAAGTGCTGGGATTAAAGGTGTGTACCACCAGGCCTGACCTTATTTTTATTTTTAAAGTGTGTGTGTGTTTGTGTGTGTGTGTGTGTGTGTGTGTGTGAGAGAGAGAGAGAGAGAGAGAGAGAGAGAGAGAGAGAGAGAGTTAATGCACATGAGTGCAGTGCCCATGGAGGATAGGAAGTGTTAGATCCTTTGGAACTGGAGTTACAGGTAGTTGTGAGCCACCAGACTCGGTGCCGGGAATCAAACTCTGGTCCTTTATGAAAGCAATAGCATTCTTAGTTGCCATGCCATCTCCCCAGCCCCATCAGCTTTGTATCTTTACGTAGGGACTGGCAAATGCTGGCCTGGTTATCTGTAAAGCTGCAGACACACAGTGGGGATGGACATGGGAAGGGGGGTAATGTGTCCCAGGGCTGTGACACTAGTAAATACAGTTTCCCTGTCTGGCCTAGGTTGTACTACAATTCCTGGCCCTGATCCAGAGCTCTAACTCCCACTAGGCAGTGGTAGGATCCTGCTGGGATCACTGGGGCACTCCACATCCACACCCTCTAGCTGTGACTACACACAGCTGTGCCTGACTGGATGGGTCTCACAGGTGTGAGCTATGCAACCTTCCCCGAGGAAGCATGTGAGGCAGAGCCTTGTGAGCTTGGCGCTGGCTGGAAACCAAGCCTTCTTCCTCGAGGATGCCCATTACCAGTCTGGCCTCTTCTTGGGTGTGTTCCTCCACGCAGCCATATTGCACTCACCGGTCTGCAAGGCCTGCTGCTCCTTCAGCAGGGCCACTTCCTGGGCCAGGCTGTCCAGCCTGCTCTTGAGCTCCTCAAACATCTTTGGGCTCACCACGTCTAGGACAGAGAGTCATGAGGCAATGAAAACCCGAAGTAGGCATATGTTCCATTCCCTGTCTGCCAGCCCCAAAGGGGCAAGGGGAAATTACGTCTCCCAGCCTAGATCTCTCGGTGTTCCTTCCATCTCTGCCCCTGCCTAAGAATCTGATCCTCCCACAGCCCCATTTTGCCTGTTCCTGTTAACTCTCCAGGGTTCCCTATCCTGCATTTGTCATGGTGGGGTTGGGATTAGCAGGAGTTGGGGCAACAGCCACCTCACTGCTCTATTTATGGGTCATAAAAATCACAGAAGTCAATTCTTCCAGAATAGGGACCAAGCAGAGACAGCGAGCCCCAGTCTTTCGTGGAGGGTGACAGAGACACAGGTTTACCAACACAGCTCCCCCTTCTCATGTTTACAGGGAGAGGACACGAACATTCTGAAATGACTGAGGAGAAATGACATAGCACAGAGTGTGTGCTCCCGAGAGCAGGGGAGCCACTTCCCAGAAAGCAACCACTGCGGGCCTCGGGCTTGCTGTGCACCACCTCAACCATGCTCATAGCCAGCCCTAAGTTATGGGCAAGTACCATCCTGGATATTCACCATTTCACAAACAAGGAAACTCAGGCCAGATTTAAATGACCTGCTTAGGATGGTAGAGCAGCTAGCCCAAAGGCCTGATCCAAGTAGCCACAGAGCCACACTCTTCCCATCTGCTCCATGGTACATGACATCTCTTATACGGACTTCCTGTGTGGATGACAAGTGCATCTGCAGGTGTAGGTGAGGGGTACTCAGTGTGTGTGTGTGTGTGTGTGTGTGTGTGTGTGTGTGTGTGAGAGAGAGAGAGAGAGAGAGAGAGAGAGAGAGAGAGAGAGAGAGAGAGTTGAGAGCTGTGGGGTGGACCTCTGTCTTTCTGAAGTCTCAGAGGTTCCTTGGAAAGCTCTACATGGCTTGAGGCAAAGGGTAGGGAGTTCCTTCATGGGCCATTTCATGGAAAGTCCACATTCATGAGGTCAGAGCCTTTGTCCACCCACTAGAAGCTTTGCCAAAGAATTGTAGCCAAGAGATGGACTTGCAGGTAGTAGTGGTGCACACCTTTAATCCCAGCATTCGGGAGGCAGAGGCAAGCAGATCTTGAGGCCAGCCTGGTCTACAGAGTGAGTTCCAGGACAGTCAGGGCCACACAGAGAAACCCTGTGTCAAAAACAAGCGAGCAAATAAACAATTAACAAACAAAAAGACAAACTTGCATGTACAAAAATCAGTGATGTAACTTATCAAGTGTGGAAAAATAACAGCAAGAGGAACAATAGCAAAGCGGATAGGGTTGGATCCAGCAACCAGGGTCACTGCACCTCTGCCTCAACCTCTGGGTTCACAGAAGCTGTGCACAATCATATGGAGCACCAACACAGGGCACCGTGTAGATAACGTGAGTCGGAAGCAGAACCAGGGTGTTAGCTCGAGCTCCCAAGAGAGCCATCAAGGACCAGAGCTAGTGTGTGGTCATTACTGAAGACTGAAACAGTCCTGCCCTTATCCTCTCCTTTCCCACAACTGACACGATTTACAAGACTGAGGAAAACTTGAGAGACTGGCAATCATTTTCCATATCCTGCCTTTGGATCTAAATCCTTCACACCACAGGCCTTAGTGGCAATGCCAGCAATGCTCGTGGACAGAACCATGCAGGGTATTCCGTCCCCCTATTTTAAAATGAGCATTTTGTAGACAACCATTGTATGTTCATCTGAATCAAAACCATCCAAAAATTCTCTTTCCCAATTCAGACTGCTCTCTGCTTTTCTTTCCAGAAGCAGTCTCTGTTACATTTGTAGGTCTTTCTGGAATAGTTCTATACATACTCAACAGATATTTACTTTTAGTTAGCCTGTTCACATTTTGGAAATAAGTATTGACACATGTTAGTGGGATTCATCTCCACATACACACGCCTCATGATAAATCCCTTTGTCAAAATGATGTCAATATAGTATCCATTCTGTTTTGAATTTTGTTCACATTGTAAATGTAGTCTTTGGTATTTGTTTTTTTTTTTTTTTTTTTTTTTTTTTTTTTTTTGAGACAGGGTCTCCCCGTGTATCCTTGTGTGGCCAACACCACCTATGTAGACTAGGCAGGCCTCAAACTCAGAGACCTGCCTGCCTCTACCTCCAGAGCACTGAGATTAAAGGTGTGTGCACTGAGATTATGGTGATACCCAGCTTTGTTTTGTTGTTTAAGTGCTGAAGATGGGAACAGGATGTCACACCTTATAGGCAAGCACTCACAACAAAGCACACAGGAAGCTGTAACTCTAACTCTTGGAGTTTTGTTTTTTGAGACAGGGATTCTGTAGTTTTGGCTGGCCTGAAATTTGCTATATAATTGAAGATAACCTTGAATTTATAACTCTCTTGCCTCGGCTCCAGAGTGCTGGGGTTACTGTGTATCACCACTTGGGTTCTGTGTGATGCTGGGGATCAACCCAGTTCCTTGCAGACACTAGGCAAGTACCTGACCAACTGAGTTCCGCCTGTTTTTGCTGTAGCCTTGTGCTCCTAAATGCTGATTTTTGTATTTCACTATCCAGGTATTAAGAGCCTGGAGATTCATCACACCCTTTCCTTTGGCTGGCCTCTAGTGCTATTTCTCTGAGTCTCCACCTCAGGGAGTCTCATGCCACCCTCCCTGTCCTGTAGGGGTGTCAGCCTTGGCCATTACATTACCATATCCACCCACTCAGGATGACCTCAGCCTCAGCATCTCAGAGGAGAGCAGAGATGTTCTCAGCTCAGTCTGAGGTCATAGGGCTGATGCCCCATGGAAGTTAAGAGTCCACATTTCCCCTCTGTGAGCCAAGCAAAAGCTTGTCCAGGGGGCTTTATATATTTTACATTATTAAATGTTGACTGCAAGACTTTCCAGCAAATTCTACCCCTCCTAGGCTCACAGTTGAGGAAACCCAGGCTGGTGCTCCCTCGTGGGAACTGACCATCTCCAAGCTGGAGGTTTGATTTCTTTAACATATTGGGTACCAGAGGGGGAGTAAATGCCAGTTTAGAAAAATCTATAAGGTTATTCTCCATTCTAAGAGTCAGAGACTCTTGAAGTTCTGACAACCATCCCAGCTGTGAGAACAAAGGTCCCAGGGGGACTCATCAAAATCAGACATGAGAGGAAGGGGCATGAGGTAGCATAAGGAGGGCAGCTGCCCCGTGCTTACCTTTCTTGACATTTGTAGCTTTCTTGGTCTTGGGGGTGGGTGTCTCTGTAGTGCCCTGGGACAAGATGGAGAAGAGGCAGAAGAGCAGGTAGGTGCCCCAAAATCCCATACTGCTGCTTCTGGTTGCAATGCCTGGGTCCGAAAGCAGTGGTCACTGCAGCCTGCGCGGCACGTCTTAAGGCTGTGGACACAAGGACCTCTGCCTTGGAAACCCTCTGAAAACTTGGCTGAGGACATGCAAAACGGGGAAAAAAGTGAAGCAAGCCTGCCAAAGGAGAAAGGCTTTGGAGCCATAGCTACACGGCTGTGGACCCAGCAGTTTGGCTAGCCTCCCAGAATACTGCATTTCAAGGGATTCCAATAGACAGCCAATAGCTGTCATTGCTCAATCCATCCAGTGATTATTTCAGGCAGGAGCCAGGTCAGTCCTGGCATTGGCTCAATGAGTCTCTGCACCCACAGAATTGTCCCTTCCCATTTTGTTAAGGAAATTGAGACTAAGGGACAGTGTAGCAGCCTTAATGACCCAAAATGCTTGTGATTATTTTGTGATTTTTGTGCTTCTTTTTCATTACAAAAACACAAGATAGACCTTCCTTTTCTCACATTTTTTCCCTCAAAAATCTGTCCTGAAGTCACAAGAGGGACAGAGTGAAAGAGGAGACCAGAGCAGAGAAGGGAATCAGAAGGCCTTAGAGCAGTGGTGGCAGAGAGGGATCTGCAGTGATGTCCCCTGGGTGTGCAGCAAGGGGCGTGGGAGCTCTGCAGGGTGGAGTGAGGCATGCCAGAAAGGTGGAGGCCCTGCTATAGTGCAGGGGTCCAAGCACGGGAGGAAGAACTGTGCAAGCAGAGACCACAGGGACACAGATGGCATATGCAGACCCTACTAAAGATGTGGGAACTAGGTTCACACATTTCAGAGAAGGGATGTATGACCATGTAGAAAGAGGAAGTTGGAATGAACCCTGCAGAGCATGGTTAAAGGCAGAGTTACCAGTGAGCCCCTGGGAACATGAGCACATTCAGAGAAATCCATTGTGTAGTTGACATAAGCATGCAGATACATCTGCCTCCCAGCTGTCCTTGGCAGGGCCTTGGAGCTGCAAATCCTCCAAAGCCTTGAATCCTCTTGGCATCCGAGCACAGAATACAACACTCTACCCAAGAGGCAGGAAATGAGCCCAAATGTGTCACACTGCCAGAAAGCAAACACTTAAAGAATGCTGGGGACCCATCCGTGGGGGTACGGCTTGCCTGAAGGAGCTGTCTGTAGTGTGAACCCAGCAGCATTTGGGGATTGTGTAGATCAAGAGCCATCACACTAGCATCAGCGTCAGGCTGGAGGAGATGGACACACAATTCAATGCCACAAATAATTCTGGACGGGACCCTGACCCTTGGAAACTGAAGGGCACGGTTGATAACTGATGGGCACCCATGGCAGAGTTGTGTTCCTGTTCCTGTCTCAGCTCCAACAATGTATGAGCATGCTTTCAGCTTTAGACAGCAAGGTAGCCCAGGTGGACCACTCATTCAAAAATGCCTTCTGGGGAGAAAGTCCTTTGCAGAGCAGTTGAAATTTTCTGTGAGTTGGACCTTTTAAAAAATAATAGAAATGCAGGGCTGTGGTGTAGCTCAGTTGGGAGAGAGCTTGCCTAGCATGCAGGAAGCCCTGGGTTTGATCCTTAGCATGGGATAAACAGGGCATTGTGCACACCTGTAATCACAGCACTTGAGAGTCTGAGACAGAAGGTTCAGGGGTTAAAACCCACGAGTCCCTGTCTCAAGAGGAAAAAAAGATGGACAAAAATAGATGCAGTATCATGTCATCAGCTTTTCCCTGCTGTCAGGACCACCCTTGATCATTTGGCTGGGGAAGAGCATGATGTCCAGGCCCAGGAGAAGGAACCTAGAAGGTTAACCAGTGACCTGTGGAGGTGTCAAGGGCGAGGCACCCAGCTGGAAGCAGGACACATGCAGGGCCCCTTAACTGATGGAAAGAGCACCACCCGCCCCCCTCCCACCCCCCGCTTTCTTAAGTGGGAGAGGTTCATTACTCACAGCTGGAACCTCAGTGTGGACGGCAATTGCATAACCTAACAAGGAGTCTTGCTTCCAAGAAAACTGGGTGGGTAGGAAAATGCAGGGGGAAGTTTATAGTTCTTTTAAGAACAAACAAACAAACAAAAACTCCTTTGATTTCCCAACTCCTCACCTGGGCCTGACTCCATTACAGCCAACCTAAGAAATGGGGGCGGACCTAAGTATGTGGTAGTCATACCTGTTTCCCCAAATAAGCCTGACTGTTAAGGCCCTGCCTTAGGTTTGCTGGAGAGGTTGTCCCTGGCATGCAAACCATGGGAGAGCCTTAGTGGGCCAGTGCATATGGGGAACTGTGCACTCCCATGGTGCCTCATAGCCATAATAGGTCCTAGGAATGCAAGATAAGGACCCATGCGGTGCCCTGGGGTTTGCTGTGCACATCACTGGGCACTTCACAGTCAGAGTAGGCAGGGAGGAAAGACAACCAATAGGGGGCTTGGCCAGGCCAGAGGAGGAACAGGGATGGTGGTCCATGTGGAGATCAAGGAAAAAGAAAAGACTTGTAGTTTAGTGGCAGAGGCACATTCTGGATCCTGAGTCCCTGTGGGGACAGAGAGGGGCCCAACAGAAAGCTAGCAAGCCAGCTGAAAAGACTGGAGGCCATGGGTAAGCCACATGGGGAGACTGTGACCAGAACACACTTTGGGGAAAGGACGAGCTGTGAGTGGAAGATACACTGGGGACCATCTGGCTAACATTAAGGCTTCACTTGCCCCGAGGATCGACTCTTTGCTACCAGATCTAGCAAGTGAACCCTGAACTTTTCAGGTCAGCTTGTGGGGGTTATACTAAGCAGCAGGCAACATCCTTGGTCATTTCACCAGTAGGACTTTGAAAGGGGTGTGTTTTTGTGTGTGCACACATAAAATAGTGTTCCATGCAAGCACAAGTTACTCCATTTGTGCCGTTAAAATGACTTTTGTAGGGGATGGAGAGATGGCTCAGAGGTTAAGAGCACTGGCTGCTCTTCCAAAGGTCCTGAGTTCAATTCCCAGCATCCACATGGTGACTGGTAACCATATGTAATGAGATCTGGTGCCCTCTTTTGGCTTGCAGGCATACACTCTATATAAAGAAAAAAAAAAAAAAAAAAAAAAAAAAAAAAAAAAAAAAAAATGACTTCTCTAGAATTAGGACAGTGGGGGAGGATATCTTGGCTAGGGGCTTCCCCAGGCTTAGGCAGAGCTCCAAACATTTTACAAACAACAACAAAACCTCCCAAAATCCATGTTGTGAATAGCACTGTCCTGTGTATTCGGGTTAAAATGGCATTTTGTTATTCATGTAGCCCCAGTGGTGGTTTGAGTGAAAATGCCCCCATAAGCTCATAGGGAGTGGCACTATTAGGTGTGGCCTTGCTGGAGGAAGTGTGTCACTGGGAGTGGGCTTTGAGGTTTCAGATGCTCAGGCCAGCCCCAGTGTCACATTCTCTTCCCTCTGACTTTGGAACTCTCAGCTACCTCTCCAGCATGTCTGCCTGAATGCCACCATGCTTCCCACCAAGATGATAATGGACTGAACCTCTGAACTGTAAGCCAGCCCCAGTTAAATGTTTCCCCTTATTAGAGTTGCCATGGGCTGGGCAGTGGTGGCGGGAGACAGAGGCAGGGGGATCTCTGTGAGACCAGAGCCCAGCCTGGTCTACAAAGCCACACAGAGAAAACCTGTCTCATAAAACAAACAAAGAGTTGCCATGGGCTGAGCAGTGGTGGCACATGCCTTTAATCCCAGCACTTGGGACACAGAGGCAAATCTGTGAGTTCCAGGCCAGCCAAGGCTGTTATCCAGAGAAACCCTTTCTAGAAAAACAAAAACAATCAAAAGTTTCCATGGCCATGGTATCTCTTCACAGCAATAGAAACCCTAAGTAAGACAGCCCCATTTATCACTCTGTCATTTTTTAATTGCTTCAGTGGATTTCACAGATGAAATGGCCTACTTTGTCTCTCAAGTCTGCCTTAAAGAACAGGCTGGGATCCAGGCAGTGGTGGTATACACTCCTTTAATCCTAGCACTCTAGAGGCAGGTGGATCTCTGAGTTTGAGGCTAGCCTGGTCTACGGAACAAGTTCCAGGACTGCCAGGACTATACAGAGAAAAAAGAGAGAGAGATTAGGTAGGTAGGTAGAAGATACATACATAGACAGACAGACAGACAGACAGACAGATGGGGGGAAAGGAAGGGGGAAGAGAGAACAGATTGGAAAAGATTCGCCAGCCTGCTCAGTGTATGATGTTCCTGCAAGCTTGAGGATGGTCTCCAAAATATTACTCAGTGGGGCTCCAGCACTAGCCCCTGGAACAGTCATTCAGGAGGCTAGCAACTGGACACCATCTCCTCTGTCCCTTCTCTGGGTTCCTTCTTCTTTTTTCTCTCTACTGTTTAAGTTTCCTGCCCCCAGTTCAACCCACCATAGTATTGGGCTTAAACCCAGAGTCTTGTACATACTGTAGTGTAGGCAAGCACTCTACACCCCAGCCCCATTTTCTGATATATATATATATATATATTTATATTTGGTGGTGCAGCTCTCAAGAGCATAGCCTATACATGGAGCCTCTTATGCTTAGCCTGGACTCTGTAACTCTGGTTCCTCTGTTACCCATGCTGGCCTTGGGTCTGTAAAGCATCCATATCCTCTTGTCCACGCCACTTCTCCCTACCCATGTGTAGAACACCAGTATAGCCAGCTGCAGTGGATGGGACCAGCCATCGGGAGCCCTCCCACCCTCCTCCCCCACCAACTACAGATCTGTGGCATTGTCCCCATCATGTGTCACAGAACAGGCAGACAGGGCTGATTTCAGCCAAGACAGACAGATTAATGTTTCTCCAAGGAAGTGTGTGCTAAGTCCTCCACCCTCAAGGCAGAGCCTTTTTGTGCTAAATGTTGTACACAGATAATAATCTTACCAAGCTTAGAGGCAGAACCCTGTGAAGAGGGTGAAGGGGCACAGCAGCTTCCCAGGGTCAGGTTTTTTTTTTTTTTTTTTTTTTTTTCTGTTCTTTGTAAGCTTTAAAAAATCAGAACTAGACAAAACAAGGTTTGGGCACCCCACCCATATCTGCCCAAACATGAAAACTTTGGCCCAGCTAGGAACTGGGCCTCACCCAGCCTCTCACACATGTTTCCCTTTAGCCCCAGCCCGCTGGCCCTGTGTCAGCAGCAGTGTGGCGTGGCCTGGCCTGAGGCTGACTTCCCATACCCGCTTGAAAGTCCAGGGCATTCAGAATAGATTTCCAAGATGAGAGCAAGGGTGGTCCCACCCTTAGTTAAAAACCAAACACAAACAGCTTTTGACCCTGCCATCTGTTCAAGTACTTGGCTCTGCCCTGTGTCTCAGGGCCTGTGTTGGGTGGACCTTGGGAGGACAGCAACACTACCCAGCCTGGTCTCAGGTTTCATGGGGCTCATAATACTTGAAGATGGAGAGGCAACATGAGTCCCATGTTCCAAATCTGGAGAGACACCTGGCAATTGTGTCTTCTGGACACACACTCCTCTTCCATAAAATAATCACCATCTGTCCATGTGGGATCATGACAAAGGGCACACAGGAGGTGCCTGTGGGAGATAGCCAGTAACCTGCAAGGTTAAGGGAATGAAATGAGGGCAGTGCTGAGGAACAAGATGGCTTCCCTGCTCTCCTTTATTGCAGAAAAACAGGCATGCTGAGCTCAGGCCCGCGCTTACCTGATTACTGCTCCAGACTCCCTGATTCCAGCCTGTCTAAACTCAAACTCTTTCCCCACACATTTTGACAGGTGTGAACCCAGCAGTGTTTGGGGATCCTGCAGGCTGAAAACCATCACACTGGCATCAAAGGTGTTGCTGGGACCTGATCCATAGTCCACATTCTGAGTCTACAAAGGCCTTCATGAAAAGACCAGCTGGGGAAAAAGTGCTTCCTGCAGCAGGCCTCTCTTTTTCCAGGATTTTAGGCCATGCCTCCCTCTATGCTCCAGAGCACATTCCTTGTCTCTGATCACACTCTGTTCTTTGGGAACGTTGTCTAGTGACCCAAACAAGTTTCTACTGAGTACCCTTCTCCCTTCAAAACAAACCACCAAGCTCTGGTTCCTTCACTGTTGTCCTAACATACAGACTGATTTACCCACAAACTGGACCTGGGCTTTCTTCTTTCAGCTATTTTCCTATGGAGCCAGAGGTGTACCAAGTGTGAGTGATTTTGTGTGTGTGTGTGTGTGTGTGTGTGTGTGTGTGTGTGTGTAAAAACAGGGAGGTGGCATAGGAATCTGGGTGATTTGTTCCATGCTCATGCCTAACCTGAATGTTCACTTTTATTACCCGTGGGCAAATACAAAGCACTAATTATCATTTGCACACCCCAAAATGATCTAGCAAAAGCAGTCCTTGGAGCTGAAGGTTTGTGTACCTTATCACACTCGAGGTTCATGTCTGTATTACCACTGTCAATCATTCCTTGTGGGTACAAGCTCGGCACAGGGCAGAGGATGAACCCTGACTCTGCCTGGTTGGGGACACCGTGTCATGGCATCTGTAGCAGCATGCACTGGGAAATATAACAGCTCAGCATGTAACTATGACATATCACATTACAAATATGACAACTATGCTATTAGCAGGTAAGCAGCTTCACTGGATACCCTGCTTCTCTACATGGATGAACCTGGTCACATGAGGGGAGGTGCCCATGCCCAGGCTCTGGAGGTATGATGCATGAAAGCTGAAGCTCACACTATGTTCTTTCCATTAGGTGATAAATTCCTAACACCTCACCCCATTTGACTGACTCAACGAAGAATGCAAATACCACTGGCTGAGATGTTCTCCATGAATCAGCTACCTCCCAAGGGCCCTATGAGACTGATTTAGGAG